AGTGATGCCAACAACTCGGGGCATGCGACTGGGGTCGCTGTGCTGACGCTGCAGGTCAGGAATAACGATACCGGCACCATAGGCTAACGAGAGATTGCCGAACACTCCAGCCACTTGAGAGAACTTAAGTTCCGGATAGGGAACACTAGGGTGGCCGCGCATGCCATGCATCACGATTCCAACACCGATAATATCAGCGATAATCGTTCCCACACAGCCAGCGAAGGCAGCACCCGAACCTTCCTTCAAAGTTGGCACGAGGCAAATCGGCAGCACCGTCAAGGCCATAAAGATCGTCCACGTGCTCTGGCTAAAAGCATCGGGGAAGAGGCCATCAAGCAATTGACCTCCTAGCACGAGGAAGACGCACGGCATCAAGAGGCAGGAGCTCATTTGGGACACAATGCAAAGCCAGCGCCCAGTGGTGCCCATGCTCCATTCTCCGAGGTCACCGAACGTTTTGACCGACCGAGGCGCCATCAGCATGGCCTTGGACATGGCGATAGATGAGTAGGTGTTGGCAAAAGCCATGAAGGCCATGGCGATCACGGCAATCAAAGGACCAGCGCGGGCAAAGTTTCCCGGCATGCCTAGCGTGCCAATACCGTAGATGCAGCAGAAAAGATTGAAGCACGCCTTCATGTCCTCACCCGTGAGGAAAACCATGACGAAGAAATCTTGCGGGAGTGAGTGGATATGCGTCGGAGGCAGTGGAATTGAAAATGAGTTACTGTAACTTGATCTCGGCAACCTCGATTATTGTGGTTAAGATTGCGAACATTATCGCGTAGCTACATGTAGTGTAATGGCACACCACGTTCAAAACATAAACAAGGGATTACGAACAACGGGAGTTAGTAAATCGATTCGCGCAAGTTTAGACGGAAGTTTTTATAAGAGAGTCGGCGTGAGATGGACTTCCCACTTACTAATTCACGATTTTTTGATCTCTGAGCACTGCCCCTCCGACGATACACAAAGGATTTAACCCTTGGAAGTAGTAGTGCAGGTACGAACTACGTGTAAAACACTAAAAGTTGAACTAAAACCAGTTCCAGTTTGGGTATGCCCGCAACTAATGATCAGTACTATTTAACTTATACAAGCGACGCGCACATCAAGGTGGTGTTCGTGGCTCGTTCGTTTATGAACAGTCGTGGAATGCTGCTACATACAGAGATAATCTTTCAGCCCATCTTGCACTATCGGGGCTTTGCAGAATATCGAAGCCAGCACATTGGGAATGCTTGAGACCCAGGATCCAGG